TTTTCTGTCCCACTCGAGGGCTGGGAACGATCCCGGGAGGTTCCAAATAAAATAAAAAAATAAAATAAAATAAAATAAAATAAAATAAAATAAAATAAAATAAAATAAAATCAAACAAGAGACAAACACCAAGTCGGGGCTGGGAAACGCCGTGTCCTGGGAATATTTTCCTTATTCCAGGGATTTTTTTAATTTATTTATTTCATTTCTACACTTCAGCAACGCCAAATCCGGGCATTTCCCTGAATTTCAAGAGTTCCTGCACCTTTAAATAATGAGGATTTAACACCAAACGTCAAATAAAGATAAAAATCCGATTCTCAGGGCGGGAAACAACCCCCCAAAACCGGGATATTTCCACTTTTTCCCATTTTAAACCCCCCAGGAAACGCTTTGGATCAAACAAACCTTCCCCCCTTGCCCCCAAGTCTGTTTCCTAAAAGGATTCTCGCCTTTTAGGGGTGGAAAAACCCCAGAAACCAACCCCAAAAATCCCATTTTTGGGCATTTCAGGCTATAACACACCGATTATCCCGTAAATAATTTTTTAAAGCTGTTGTTTTTTTTGGCAAAAACGAGTTCAGAGTCGACTCCTTGGAAGATTCCAGGGAGAAAAAAAAACAGAAATGAGGGTAAAAGGGGTTTTTTTTCTGAGAAATGGAGGTGAGAGAACCTGAGGCAGCGCGAGATTCAGCACCAAAATCTGCATTTTTGGGGGGAAAAAGGGGTGTTTTGGGAATGGAGGGGGGACAGGGGAGCACCGAAGTGACCGAGGTGGGTCTTGTAGGACAAACACACCTGAGAAACACCATTGAAAACCCCCCCAAAAAAGCACCTTTTGGCCTTTTCCAGAGTCCTGCAGAGGAGAGGAACGGGAGCAGAGGGTGGAGGGGGCAACCAAAACCCACCTTTGGGCCAGTGACCATAACTTTTGGGCCAGTGACCACAACATTTGGGACCACCTTTAGGATGGTGGCCACAATTCCTGGGGGTTCCTGAGGGGTCTCCACGACC